TCGGTGTGCTTCGTTCAGTTGCGTGTTGCTGTCTTTGACCTACCAGGTACGTCACGCTATCTTACCCACGCCCTGCTACCCCGGGTCGCGACCTACCGGGTACGTGCTATACTTACCCACGCCTACTACCCCAGGTCGCGGCCTACCAGGTACGTCACTATCTTAACCGCCTACTACCCCGGGTCGCGACCTGCCGGGTACGTCACTATCGCACCGCACCACTACCCCCAGGTCGCGGCCTGCCAGGTACGTCTATCTTACCCGCCTACTACCCCGGGTCACTGACCTACCGGGTACGTCACTATCTTTACCCGCCTACTACCCCCGGGTCATGACCTACCAGGTGCGGCCCGCTATCTTACCCACGCCTACTACCCCACGGTCGCGACCTGGGTGCGTCGCCCTGTCTTACCCTGCTACCCCCAAGTCGCGACCTGCCAGGTAGTCACTATCTTTTACCCGCCTACTACCCCCCGGGACATGACCTACCGGTACGTCACTATTACCCCGCCTACTACCCCAGGTCGCGACCTACCAGGTACGTCCACTATCTTACCCACGCCTACTGCCCCCAGGTCGCCAACCTGCCAGGTACGTCACTATCTTACCCGCCTACTACCCCAGGCCGCGGCCTGGGTGCGTCACTATCTTACCCACGCCTACTACCTCCCGGGTTATAAACGCACCGGAAGTAACGGGTAGGAGGTGTGTGACCAGCACTACCTGTTGAGCATGTCTAGCCATCCACGTTAACCGGCAGTGTTAAGGTACTGTCACCTCACTTAAGCAGGTTATTTTGGAAAGAGAAAGTTCAGGAGGTGAGATGTTGTTTGCCTGTGTTGTTGTTTGTTTACTTGTGTTATTGTTTTTTTACCTGTGTTGTTGTTTGTTTACCTGTGTTATTGCTGTTTACTGTGTTTGTTTTTTGTTTACTGTGTTGTTTGTTTGAGTTTGGCAGTCTCCTTAGTCATTTTGTGTTGTAAGCAAACAGTTTGTTAGTGTTACAGTGTGTTGTGTTGTGTGTTGCCCCAAGTGGAGCAGCCGCCATCACTCATGGCACCTCCTCCGTCAGCAGTGGCACCACCAGTGCCCGCCCGCCGCCCACCCCATGCTCTGGCCACGCCCTCGGCCTACGCCCACCTGCGCTACACCACTACTCAGTGCGTCTCCAACACAGTCTCGGCTTCTCCCGTGACCCCCTGCAAGGTTTACTGCGACACCGCCCACGCCTCCACGGACACCCACACACGCCCCTCCATAACCGCCACCACCCACGCGCAGGTCAGTAAAGTCTTCCTCTCCCAATTCTTCGCCGCGTAGGTCGCCGCTGACGCCGCTGTCAGCACCAGCAGGGTGTGAGAGCGGCGGCGGAGTGGATAGTGGCGGCGCCCGTGGCGGTGCTGGGGCATTTCCGGCAGTACACAGGGCGCGGCGTCCCCAGGCTGGAGCAACGCTTGGGCGCCGTGGAGCGTCGCCTACGGGGTGCCGACTGCCGTCTCCACCATCACCCGCCTTACTCCGCCGCCACGCCCACCAGCTTAACGTCTTCTGCTTTGACCCCAATGACCCACCCCGACGCCCCACGCCCATCATGACCACCATATGCCCTCTGGCCCCGACCCCCGCCACGCCTCATGGTACTCCCACGCCTTCGTCAGGTACGTCTTCTTACAGTAATTCACTAAAACGTAATGTGTCACACGGTGGACGATGACGTCACACGAGGGGCAGGGAGGTAAACACTGGCCTTCTCTCTCCTCCAGCTGTGATCTTAAGTTTGATGTATGTGGTTGTCATGGTGACCTTACCAACAAACAAACAAACAAACAAACAAAAACAAAATCATACTAAAACAAAAAACATACAAACAAGAACAAAAAGAACAAAACACTAAATAAAAACAAACACAGAGACTCTGGGGAGGACCCACTGTGTTACCTCGACAAGAACAATATATTAACAGGTGATTATTTGTTTGTTTTACAGATAATGGAGCTGAACAGATGACACCTGTACCACACCTGCTGTCTGGGTGGGTGGTGTGTGTGTGTGTGTGTGTGTGTGTGTGTGTGTGTGTGTGTGTGTGTGTGTGTGTGTGTGTCTGTGTCTGTGTGTGTGTGTGTGTGTGTGTGTGTGTGTGTGTGTGTGTGTGTGTGTGTGTGTGTGTGTGTGTGTGTGTGTGTGTGTGTGTGTGTGTGTGTGTGTCTTGTTGATGTGTGTGTGTGTGTGTGTGTAAGTGTGTGTGTGTGTGTGTTTCTGTACGTAACTGTCCGTGTTAACAGATGTCTCCTAGTCCGTGCTGGCCACGTACCACCGTCACCCGTCACCAGGTCACCGTCACAGGCCACCATCACCCGTCTGCAGGTCACCGTCACCAGGCCACCGTCACCCGTCACGGTCACCGTCGCAGGCCACCGTCTCACCCGTCACCAGGTCGCCGTCACCCGTCACCAGGTCACCGTCACCCGTCACCAGGCCACCGTCAACAGGTCACCGTCACCCTTCACCAGATCACCGTCACAAGGTCACCTTCTACCGTCGCAGGTCACCGTCACCCGTCACAGGCCACCGTCAACGGGTCACCGTCACCCTTCACCCAGGTCACCGTCACAAGGCCACCTTCACCCGTCACTGAGCCGTCACCCGTCAGGTCACCGTCACCCGTCACCAGGTCAGCGTCACCGTCACCAGGCCGTCAGCCTTCACCAGGTGCCCTTCACCCGTCACCAGGCCACCGTCACCCGCCACCAGGCCACCGTCACCAGGTTACCGTCACCCGTCACCAGGCCGCCGTCAACCTTCACCAGGTCACCGTCACCCGTCACCAGGCCACCGTCACCCGCCACCAGGCACCGTTACCCGTCACCAGGCCACCGTCACCAGGTCACCGTCACCGTCAGGGTCACCTTCACCGTCACCAGGCCACCGTCTACCCGTCACCGGCCACCGTCACCAGGTCACCGTCACCCATCACCAGGTCACCGTCATCAGGCCGCCGTCACCGTCACCAGGCCACCGTCACCAGGTCACCGTCACCAGGTCGTCACCCATCACCAGGTCACCGTCATCAGGCCGCCCGTCACCGTCGTCAGGGTCACCTTCACCCGTCACCAAGTCATCGTCACCCGTCACCAGGCCACCGTCACCGAATCACCGTCAAAGGTCACCTTCACCCGTCACCAGGCCATCACCCGTCACCAGGCCACCGTCACCAGGTCACGGTTACCCGTCCAGGTCACCGTCACCAAGGTCACCTTCACCCGTCATGCCAGGCCACCGTCACCCGTCACAGGTCACCGTCACCAGGTCACCGTCACCCGTCACCGGGCCGCACCGTCACCGTCACCGTCACCAGGTCACCGTCACAAGGTCACCTTCACCCGTCACCGAGCCAGCCGTCACCAGGTCACCGTCGCAGGCCACCGTCACCCGTCACCAGCCGTCACCGGGTCACCTTCACCCGTCACCGAGTCATCGTCACCCGTCACCAGGCCACCGTCACCAGATCACCGTCACCCGTCACCAGGTCACCGTCACCCGTCACAGGCCACCGTCACCCGTCACCAGGCCACCGTCACCAGGTCACCTTCACCGTCACCAAGTCATCGTCACCGTCACCAGGTCACCGTCACCCGTCACCAGGTCACCGTCACCCGTCACAAGGTCACCTTCACCCGTCACCAGGCCACCGTCACGGGTCACTGTCACCCGTCATAAGTCCACGTCATCCGTCACCAGGTCACCGTCACACCGTCACCAGGTCACCGTCACACCATCATTTGGCCAAATTAAAGTAACGTCGTTTCTGGGCTTCCATAAGTGACGTGAGGCTACTGGAGGCTTCCATAAGTGACGTGAGGCTACTGGAGCTTCCATAAGTGACGTGTGAGGCTACTGGGGGCTTCCCAGTGACGTGAGGCTACTGGAGCTTCCATAAGTGACGTGAGGCTACTGGAGGCTTCCATAAGTGACGTGAGGCTACTGGAGGCTTCCATAAGTGACGTGAGGCTACTGGAAGGCTTCCGTTAAGTGACGTGAGAGGCTACTGGAGGCTTCCATAAGTGACGTGAGGCTACTGGAGGCTTCCGAAGTGACGTGAGCCTACTGGAGGCTTCCATAAGTGACGTGGAGGCTACTGGAGCTTCCATAAGTGACGTGAGGCTACTGGAGGCTTCCATAGTGACGTGAGGCTACTGGAGGCTTCCGCGTAACGTGAGGCTACTAGAGGCTTCCATAAGTGACGTTGAGGCTACTGGAGGCTTCCATAGTGACGTGAGGCTACTGGAGGTTTATAAGTGACGTGAGGCCTGGAGGTTTCCATTGACGTGAGGCTACTGGAGGCTTCCATAAGTGACGTGAGGCTACTGGGCTTCCATAAGTGACGTGAGGCTACTGGAGGCTTCCATAAGTGACGTGAGGCTACTGGAGGCTTCCATGTGACGTGAGGGCTACTGGAGGCTTCAAAGTGACATTAGGCTACTGGAGGCTTCCATAAGTGACGTGAGGCTACTTCCATAAGTGACGTGAGGCTACTGGAGCTTCCATATAAGGACGGAGGCTACTGGAGGCTTCCATAGTGACGTGAGAGGCTACTGGAGGCTTCCATAGTGACGTGAGGCTACTGGAGGCTTCCATAAGTGACGTGAGGCTACTGGAGGCTTCCATAAGTGACGTGAGGCTACTGGGGGGCTTCCCCAAGAAGTGACGTGAGGCTACTGGAGGCTTCCATAAGTGACGTGAGGCTAATGGAGGCTTCCATAAGTGACGTGAGGCTACTGGAGGCTTTCATAAGTACTGGAAGGCTTCAAAATTTTTAACATGATTCTCCTGGGGCGAGCGACGTGTTCCTCAAAGAAGCCTCAAGGAGTAACCTTATAACACCTGTAATTTACAGTACTCTGAACACACCTGTGAGTTACCAGGAAACTCTAGAGTGGCGTGTGAGTGACGTGCTACTCATCCTAAGGCTACAGTAGTTTGGTGTGTGTGTGTGTGTGTGTGTGTGTGTGTGTGTGTGTGTGTGTGTGTGTGTGTGTGTGTGTGTGTACATATTTGACTACACCCTGTATTTGTGTATGTATATTCTATCTACACCATTGCCAGGTATACATATATCTTCACCTCTTCTGAGACCACCACACATATATGTATCGTGTCATGTATGGAGTTAAGATTGTATGTATGTATGTATATATACCTGTATACGTTTATGTGTACTATGTATGTTTGTATGAGCCAGTTGAGTGTTGTATACAGTTACCATACAACTGTTCCCTGTATGTCTCTCACCGCTGTATACTACTGTACTGTATGGCCACACTGTATGGCCACACCGCTGTATACTACTGTACTGTATGGGTACATTGTTGTATATTACTGTATGGCCACACTGTTGTATACTACTGTACTGTATGGCCACTCCACCGTATAGGCCACACCGCTGTATGGCCACACCGCTGTATGGCCACACCGCTGTATTACTCCACCATTGTCGTCTTTAACCATCAATATATAATAAGTTGTTACTGATGTTTATTTCATACCTGACTGAAGGGGAAGCTTATCAACACACATGGGGTAATCGTAATCTGTAATCGATTACAATCTTATTTTTAGCAAAGTAATCATGTCGATTACATACAAAATGTAATCGTATCTACGATCACTTTCACGATTACAAGCCCTGCGGAATCATTGACCATGACACCTCAAGCGAGGCAAAATAAACTGTTTAGCTACTTGTCTGGTCCCAGAGCAACTGTACAGTCCATGAGAGACACCACACAAGCTTTGGGGAGCCTGGCTTCCTCCCAGCCTCCCACCACACACAGATCCTCTTAAATATCTGGGAACAAAACAAGCATCCTTGCCTGTCCTCTCCAGCACTTCAGCACCTGTTGGAGTAGTCAGTGTTGCTGGCCGGATCTACAGCCAGATAGTTGCCAGATAAAGCCTTCACACAGTTTAGTTTACGTTAAGTTCAACAAAAATATTCAGTTTTTATTTCATATCCCTGTCCTGAGAAGGTGTAACCACTCAACACTATCCTACTGTTAGGTTTTTGTTATCTTATGGACGATTTATTTCTTCAATTAACACCGTTAGATCGTGTTCTTGACACTATCTCTGATATAATGGACGCAGAGTTTCCAAAACCTTTGGTCTAATTTTTCTTTAAAAAAATGTAATATTACAGTACAGTATTGATTAATAATCTACATTTATTGAAAGTAATGTCTTCGGTACACCTGGTAATGTCTCAGTACACCTGATAATGTCTTCGGTACACCTGAGTAATGTCTTCAATTACACCTGAGTATGTCTTCGGTACACCTGAGTAATATCTTCGGTACACCTGAGTAATGTCTTCGGTACACCTGAGTAATGTCTTCGGTACACCTGAGTAATGTCTTCGGTACACCTGAGTAATGTCTTCGGTACACCTGAGTAATGTCTCCGGTACACCTGAGTAATGTCTTCGGTACACCTGAGTAATGTCTTCGGTACACCTGAGTAATGTCTTCGGTACACCTGAGTAATGTCTTCGGTACACCTGAGTATATACTGTAGTATACCTCACTATGTCATCAGAGCACTAACTTACTATTATCTTACAAACATTTGTGTTAATAATGTTCCCAAACTTCACAACACCTCACAGTTATTTAGGTCTGATACTTCTCCGTATCTATACTTCCATATTAATCTTGTGAATAGATCCATCTATTAGAATTTGGTTTTCTGTTCTTGTTTATTAATCCCCGGACCATCATGTATCATGCGTTAGGTCGACCTTTTTATCTGAAAACATGATTTAATACCAGGTTGACAAACAGTACAGTAAATCAGTTTTGTGGTCCGTCGTTTATTTATACAGATTCCTTTTGAGTAATCATGATGACGCATCGTGTAATTGTAATCATAAAATTATGCAACTGTAATCGATTACATTACCGATGTAATCGTCCCGTATATTAACACAATAACGTATAGGGCAGCCTGTAGGTATAGGGCAGCCCTGTGGGTATAGGGCAGCCCTGTAGGTATAGGGCAGCCCTGTGGGTATAGGGCAGCCCTGTAGGTATGGGGCAGCCCTGTGGTTAGGGCAGCCCTGTGGTATAGGGCAGCCCTGTAGTGGGCAGCCCTGTAGGTATAGGGCAGCCCTGTAGGTATAGGCAGCCCTGTAGGTATAGGGCAGCCCTGGAGGTATAGGGCAGCCCTGTGGGTATAGGGCAGCCCTGTGAGGTATGAGACAGTCTCTAAGAAGAGGCCAGTAGACTCAGTAAAGTTACGCACCATCACGGGTCTGGTCTGGTCTGGTCTGGTCTGGTCAGGTCTTGGTCCAGGTCAGGTCAGGTCTGGTCTGGTCTGGTCTAGTGAACTCGGTCCTCAGCAACTCCCACTAGACCGTCTCACTGAAGCACTGTACTCAGAGCCAAAACCGTAAGAACTACATCACAATATTCTAACTGTACACATAGACTGTACACATAGACTGTACACATAGACTGTACACATACACACTTCATACCTAGACTTAAAGATGTATTGATGTTACTAATAGACAGGTTAGGTTAGGTTGGGTTAGGTTAGGTTGGGTTGGGTTGGGTTGGGTTAGGGGTTGCTGCAGTGATTCACAGCTACTGAAGTCAAGTCAAAGTCATGCATCTTGCCGATCCCATAAGTGGAGCGCTCAGTCCTGTTCAGTCCTGTTCAGTCCTGCTCAGTCCTGTTCAGTCCTGCTTGGTCCTGTTCAGTCCTGCTCGTTCCTGTTCAGTCCTGCTTAGTCCTGTTCAGTCCTGTTCAGTCCTGTTCAGTCCTGCCAGTCCTGTTCACACTCATGGCTACGGTGTTAAGTCAATCCCAGATGATGTAATGCAAATATCCTAAACTATCATGGTGGAATCAAACTATCCTAAACTATCATGGTGTAATGCAAACTATCCTTAACTATCATGGTGTAATGCAAACTATCTAAACTATCATGGTGTAATGCAAACTACCTAAACTATCATGGTGTAATCAAACTATCCTAAACTATCATGGTGTAATGCAAACTATCTAAACTATCATGGTGTAATGCAAACTATCCTAAACTATCATGGTGTAATGCAAACTATCCTAAACTATCATGGTGTAATGCAAACTATCCTAAACTATCATGGTGTAATCAAAACCATCCTAAACTATCATGGTGTAATGCAAACTATCTAAACTATCATGGTGTAATGCAACTATCCTAAACTATCATGGTGTAATGCAAACTATCCTAAACTATCATGGTGTAATCAAACTATCCTAAACTATCATGGTGTAATGCAAACTCTTCTTGACTATTTATCAGGTACAGACTGTAGAAACATTGGCCTCATACACACACACACACACACGCACACACACACACACACACACACACACACACACACACACACACACACACACACACACATACACACCAGGTAATAATGTAAAGGATAAAGTGAAAATTAAAATAATAAATAATAAACATAAAAAAAACTGATAATAAAAGCAACAAGAAAAATATAAGCAAAAAATAAAAATAAAAAATAAAAATATCTTCTTCCATTACGACCTAAAACAATTTATTAAAACAATTTATTCTCCTTGAAAAAAATAAAAGAAGTATATTTAGATAATAACTGATATTAAATAAAACAGAATAAAGATAAGAATAAACCGGGAAAAAATAAAGTTTGAGATCATCTTAAGTGATTTCTTCCTTAATTTCTTGTGGTTCTCTACGAGTTAAGAAAAATAAACACCACTCACGACACTA